GTGATTTTCAGTTTGTATTTGATTTCGATATATTTACTCCAATATTACCGTGTAATCAATAATTGAATTTAGTTTTTAATGATATCAAAATAATTATTATAATAAAACTTTGGATTAAAACCAATTTCTTAATAATTAAAGTTTTTGTTTCAATAACTTATTTTATTAATCAGCGAAAGGTAGCAAAAAAATAAATTTATTAATAGTTTAATAATAATTATTATTTCAAATTTATAAAGAGTAATCAGGCTTTGTTTAATTTATTTAATATGAATGGCTTAAAAAATGGTTGCCCTTCAAAGGATACCTTGTCTACATCTCTCAATAGGATTTCAATTGATTGAAGTCTATCTACAATGGACTCAAATTTTGTGTCTTTCAGCAGAATATTCCTATCGATGGACCACTTCTTATATGTAGTCAACACTTGCCGACAGTCAGGCCTTTCAATCCATTTGCGAGTTAACATAGAGTCCAGAATTTTTTGTAATTTAAATACCGGTGCGTTTAACACACCATTTAACGGTGAATATCGTGCTGGACTAAATGTTATATAAAGCAATTATAATTATCTATTCATTATAAACCGTTAACATATTTAATATACTTTTTCAAATCCATAGTGAAAACGTCGAAATCAAATATCTCGCACCCGATTAGCGACAGGCAATGGATATCAGATTTGTGGTCATAATTTCTACCCTGTAATACCTCGGGTGCGATATACCTTTGTGTGCCCACACCTGATGTATGTTTATTAGCCGTACGGAAGTGAACGCGTTTGTCGTGAACTGTAGCCAAACCAAAGTCACACAACTTTATAAACCTACCGTTCCCCACATTACTAGTGATCAGTATGTTGTCGGGTTTGAGATCCATGTGAATTATCTGTGGATTCAATTCATGCAAATACTGAACGCATTCCAGAATTTCACGGAATATTTCACACGATATGTAGTACTCGTACAGATCCATAGGTTCTTCGCCTAAATTTCTATCAAATACCAGTGCCTTGAGTTTTAGTATATTTGATAGGCTTTCCGAACACCACTCCATCTGAATGTACAGACAATCCGTTTCCCTCCACGAGTTGATGTACTGAACCACGTATTCTGACTCTACTTTCACCAGACTTTTCACTTCACGGTATACTTTTTGCTTATCGTTATCCTCTATCACTAATAATGAATAAAAATAATTAAATATTTACTTAAATAATAACAAAATTATTTATACATACATTCAAAAATAACCCGTTTTACGGCAGATATTGTATTGGATTTATCCTTAACACGATATACTGTCCCAAAACCTCCAGATCCTATCGTTGATAGCATAGTAAATGTTTTCTCGAAATATTTATCATTAAACTTAATTGATATCTCATTTGTTTGTATAAATCGCTGCAATCGTGTCGATAATAATTTGTAGAAAAATTTGTTATCCCATGAACTCATCATTTCTAACTTTGTATCAAATTCTGGATCTTTTAACAGAATATTCTTATCGATAGCCCACTCGTCATATTTAATCAATACTTTGCTGCACTCCGGTCTCTGTTTAAAATTCCGGGTTAACATTGAATCCAAATATTTTTGCAATTCAGACACTGGTGCGTTTAATAACCGATTTTTGAGCGAGTATTTTTTCGGTCTAAACAGTTATAACAATATAATAAATTAAAATTATAAAATATAGTTTTAAAATATAAAATTCTAATAAGCAATGGATTGGGACCAACTTGGCTTAGATATACAGTACTAAGTCTTACACGAGATAACCCTGCTTAGATTTACAGTACTAAGAAGGAATTTCTCGATATGAAAAGTTGGCCATGCTAGTTTAATTTGTATGTGCATAAACTTAATTATGTCATTAATAAATATGCATGGTCAAAAAGTGCGAACCCGGCCGATATGTTGGTCATATTAAGGTCAGTAAGTTGGCTGACATGGTCATTTTTGAATAGCACTTTATATGTCTACATTATAGGTAAACATTTACCGGAAAAATTTGCCACACATTGAGTGCGCACTATACGGTTGAGAGCCGTCCAAACTTTAGTACATACCGTCTATTCAAATAATGTTAATTTATAC